TAGTTCTCCAGTCTTATTCATTTCAGTTGTATACGTTTAAGACTTTGGTTTCCATTTTGGCTAAGATTTTTATTTCTTAAAGTTATTGCATGAGTAATACTTCTTGTGTTTAAGTTTTCCGCTGAGTAAGTAAGCCAGGCCAATGGTTCGCTTGAGGCCAACAATGGTTCTCGAGTTCCAGCCACGTCCGGGGTGTAGGCTCGGGGAGTGACAATTACTTCCCGAAATTCAGCATTCGTGACCTTTCCTTGGGGTTGCACCTCTGGTGCATTAGGTACCCCTTGTTCCTCAACATTCCTCCTAGCAGGATGATCTCAGACAACTCTTCGTGGAGGCATGATCAACTGAAAGACACGCACAAGCACGAGTTAGAAAGAGACTTTATAGAGATGAACTCTATCGCACGAAATGAATGTGAGAGAAGTGAGATAGTTCCTAAATGTTGCAACCTCCCAATTATAGATGTGGCGCGCTTTAGATCGATAACTAGGACTCTACAGACACGGCTTCATAGACTCCCTAGGACTCTTGAACTCTGTGCTCTGATACCAAGTTTGTCACGCCCTGAGCCTACACCCTGGGCGGGATTGACACTCGAGAACCATTGCTGGCCCCAAGTGAACCCTTGGCCTGGCTAGACTCTCAGCGGAAGACTTTATCAACATGAAATGTACTTAAACACAATCTTAAATAAACTATCTGAATAGATAAACTGAGAATGTTTAGAAAATGAAATCCAACTTAGTCAAAATGGCAACTCAAGTCTTTAAATCAAACAACTGAAATATCAAGACTAAAGAACTCATATCTAACTGTCTATGAAGCCTCTAGATACTAAGAGGGATGTCGGGACAAGACCCCCGATCATCCTAACAATGGAAATAACCAAAAGCAATAAAAAAAACATAACCAAATGGATCCTCCGGAAAGCAATGAGGCTTACCAACTGACTCTGAGTGCTCAATTGAATCAACGAGGCGTTGGATGCTGATCCTGGTTATGCATCATAAAATGATGCAGGCCAAATGGCATCAGTACATTGAATGTATGAGCATGTGAGGGGAAAACTAAACACGACATAAGCTTGAAATGAATACTGAAAGGACACTTACCTCAACTTTACTCAACTCATGAATACTCAATCTCAATGCAGAATTAAACGACAGTAAAGGTGCAGTTTATATAAAGCATTTAAATAAGTAATAAACAACTTAATATACATATATAATAAAGTAATGTAACTATATGGGAGTTTCTCTCACTGACAACCATCACTATGAGCTAAAGTGATGATACAACATCGCGCCCACACTGCCAGAACTGTCCTATAACTTACCGGGATATAGAACGCCTCAACTAAGTGGATCCGCTAGTCTATTGTAAAAAGCATTAATGAATCATCTAAAAAGTATGACTCTTTCTACCCACGATGACTACATGGTTTATGGAGACTTGAGTTATTATGAACTCGTCCCCATATCGGTGCTCAATACTACTCCCAAAATATATTTAACTCATATGTTTAAAAACAAAAACTCTTTCTGTTGTTTGATATAATTACTCAAAAACTAGCTCAAAGGCTCTCTTGGAAATCAGTGTTTCCTATCTTGTTTAAATGTGAAAACATTTGATCTTTGAGAATACATAGTTCCGATATACTCTTTTGAAGAAATGAACTTCAAGCTTTAATATTTACTCAAATCAAAACTCAAGCCTTAAAACAAAGTTAAAACGTTTGTAAAAGACTTTTGGAAGACTCTAAGAACTTCTCTTGACTTGACTCTTAACTTTACTTGAATTGAATTATGGATTCAAGGCTCATGATCTCATGTTATGGATGATTTAATGTTGATTAGATGTACCTTAGAGTGTAGAAATTAAAACATAGGTACGTTTGAAGGGAACTCGTACGGAAAGAAGTGGGAAAGGGTAGAAGGCCTGGCGACCCTGGCGCTCTGAGTGGTGCGGGGCACTAGAGGGAAAACTTCAGAACTGGGGATGGGGCGCACTGGCTGGTGCGGCGCCCCAGAGCCCAAACTACAGAGCACAAAGTGGGGAGCTCTGGCTGGCGCGGCGCCCCAGACCCCTCCCCAGAAATCCCAGAGCTTTCTTGCTTGTTTTTCAACTCTAAACCCTCTAGATTAGAATGGTTCCTTCCCCAAACACTTAAATTCTAATACATAACCACAATATACAAGAATCAACTCAAAAACAACCTTAAATATCATCAAATCACATCAAGAACTCCTCCAAAAACTCCACAATCAAGATTCAAATGAAACTTCAACAAAATTCATCAAGAACTCATAAGCTTTTCTTTCAAGAACACAAATACGTTGAATTTAATCATGTTTGGCGCGTGGGTGAACTAACCCAATGCTGTGTGATCTCACATACCTCGTAGGGATCAACCCTTGGCGAAATCAACGAGCTTAACTTCAAGAACGCGACAAATCCTTGCTTCTTCTCCTCCTTTCTCCTCTTCTTTTCTCTTCTCTCAAAATCCTAACTTGTTTTCAATAGCGTAAACTGAATCCCATCAGTTGAGACCCCAACACCTAACTCATCTTGAGCTAGGAGTTATGGTCGTTTGAAGTTGACCCAAAACTTAAGCTTAACAAAACTTAAACAAATTTCCAGATTTTTCATTCTTTCCAAAAATGTCTCTTTCTAATTCTAGCTCTTTCACTTAGCGAGGTGTTACACACTGCCTTACCTCCAAAAGAGAGTAACTTCACTTTCCAATCCTGTAGTTTGTTCTGAATCTTTTTGATGAGTTTAGAGAAATGAACCTTCTTCTTTTTAGCATGTCCAATAGGACATCCTAAATACATCATGGGAAAACTGCCTCTCAGAAAATAGTAACATCTTTCATTTCTTGAACCACATAATGAGCAACCTTACTAAACATATAATAGAAAGTCTTTCCTTTATTTATCAGTTGAACATACGAAGATTCATAAAGAGTAAGAGTTTCCATTATTAATTGCATAGATCTTTTATCAACATTAGCAAAAATAATAGTATCATCTACATAGGCCAAATGATTGATTTAATCACTCCACTTAAGTAATCCATAAATATTAAACTTGTGATTATAAAACAAGTGATTAAGAGCTTTCGATAGCACCTTAACAGTCAAAATAAATAAAGCAGGGGATAGAGGGTCTCCTTGCTTTACCTCTCTAGTAGAGTGAAAAAATCCATGTGCTTGTCCATTCACTAATACAGAGTACCAATTATTAGCCATTAATCTCCACACCATGTCCATCCATCGTAACTCAAAATCCATCTTTTCTAAGACTTTCATAAAAAAATTTCCAATCAACTCTATCGTAGGCCATTGCCATTTCTAATTTAATTGCCACATTAGCAGGTTTACCTCTTTTTCTGATATCAGTAATAATTTCTTGGGCCATTTAACACATTTTCAGTAATATTTCTGCCTTTAATTTGTATATTTCACCTATAAGGTCAGATTCACGCTTTGACTAGATATTATTTGCAGCTACTTACCACTGAGCGGGAGAAGATATGACGATTTGTCAAAGGTTTGAACGTGGGACTTTAGTTAGCAGCACTCCAGATGGTGTCTTATAATAAGACTTTTCAGGAAGTGGTAGAGCATGTAAGGAGTGTGAAGGAGGTGATAGTTTCAATGAATCCTTCTCTAAGGGGTTGATCCTCAAGTATACTCTCAAAACCCCTATTTAGACAACGATGCAGGTTTCATCTGAGGGTCCGTCAAAGGTCAGCCAACAATCATCAAATTAAAAAGGTTACTCTGTATTTTTAATTTTAGCATATTGACCTACATTGGACAGGTTTTCTATGAGTATGGTCAAGTGGTACCCCAAATTCAGACATGGTAAATAGGTAGTTCAACAACAGGCTTCTCGAGCCTTAGTTCCAACATGTAGGAGATGTGGCTCGTATGGTAGACATCATCCTCAATTTGGATGGGGTGGTTACACAACAGATAGATATGGTATCCATCCTATTTGAGATCATGGTCAGGCTAACATAGTTGAGGCAATTCGTAGGCAGGAGGTCAGACTCACTTATATGTTTTTTTTTCGGGCACACATGAGGCAAAAATGTCTGATGCAGTGACCACATGTATTATTCTAGTCTATGATCGAATGAATACATCCTTATTTAACCATGATTTCACCATTTTATATGTGCCTGTTTATTTTGTTGTGGGTTTGAGTATGATTTGTGAATCACTTGATGTTCATATTCATATTTCTACTCCTTTAGGTGATTTTGTGGTTGTTGATAGAGTCTATTATTTTTGTGTGGAGACTTTTATGGGGTATAAAATCTTGATAGACTTGGTGATCTTTGACATGGTTGATTTTGATGTCATTTTGGGGATGATTTGGTTGTCTTCATACAATGTTGTTTTAGACGATCATGCCAATATAGTTTTCATATCTATGTCAGGGATGTCTGGGCTTGAGTGGAAGGGTAATTGTAGTTCTACTCCTAAAAAAATCATATCTTTTATTTGTGCCAAAAGACATTAGAAGTGTTGTAACCACATTTGAAAAATTATTCTAGATGAGTCTAAAAAGGAATATCATTTATGAAGTATCATTTATATTATGAGATGTTGTACAATGCTGTGGTGTGGATGAGAAACTTTGGGTCTATTTAGAGTTTGGTCCTCTACTAAACTTTTGATAAAACATGAGAACAAAGTGAGAAGCCCAAAAGAAATGTTGAGCGGCCCAAGATAGTTTGTCAAATCGGGTCAATCCAATCCCACCCAGCTGATGCCACGTGGTTGTCATTTGAAAGGCAAAGTCTTCTTTTACTTTGTTTACTCCGACAAAGTTCTAAGAGCGTTACACTATTCATCTTCTTTACTAGCTACTGAATCATTGTTTCTTCAACTCTCTCAATTGTATCATCGTCATCTGTCCTGAGGATATTGATCTCTATATCATGTCAACAAAGGCAAAGCTACAAATATAACTACATTTATCCATCTCCAACTTCAATTTATCTTAAAGGTAAACAAACAATTACTCTGTCTTCACTAGGAAATAAAATCAAACACATCATTTTAGTGTCTTCTTTCTCATTTGGAAGATCATTTAAACGATTTTTTTTTGTAAGACTTTTCAATGGAGAATCTACCAGAGTCACCATTTTCTGAATCAACATTGGGATCATCGTCATCATCGCCATCACAGAAAAATCCTAATGACTTGAGTGCTCTGACTCCAAATCAGTTGGTGCTATTAATCCATGATGCTAGTCTTCGTGAAGAGGTCATGCATCACCTCTGCAAGGTATATGGCACATTTAATTTTTAAAATATTTTTATTATACGGTCTATTTTATGTAAGTGTTAATTTTTGTATATATGTTTGTTATGTATTGTTGTTTTCTACTTGATAGTCGTTCGATGGGAGAGATAGAGAGGCAAAAAAGTTCATCGATCGTTGATTTTTTTTTTGAGATGTTTTTTTAATGGACATTAGATTTCACAATGAATGAACTTTTGTTAGTGGTCTTTATAGAAATTATGATGATATGATTAGTTTCTCTTTCTATATTATAAGAAATATGTCATATTTACCCAAAATGGGCATGATGTAGAATTCAACATGACCCCAATTTAACATTTTATTTGAAAATCAAATTTTGACACGTATGTTGCACGTGTATTATTCGATACTGATTAGTGCAAACTTCTTAAAACATTAGAAATAATATTTGAATAATTGTGTGATGAATTGGACAAAATTGAAAGGGAAGGATGCATTCTCAAATTCATAAATAGTACAATCGATCGATATTTATTATCGCTATAAAGTACAATCACACCACAAATTTCATTCAAATGAAGTTTAAATGATCCCCTTCATTTTCTCTCATTAAAGAAAAAGTAATTCTTATTTATTGAATTATAATAAAGATATACACCATATTTTTAGGAAAAATAATGTAATGAATGTTTTCTTGTTCCAAGATCATACAAAATGTATGTACTAATTGAAAGTCAACAATTTTATCTATCTATCGCAAATTGTAATGGAATTACATTTATTAGAGTAGTATACTATTTTTAAGTCCTTATTAATTAGTGCTAATTTCGTTTAGTATTTTACTTAATTTATTTATTAATCCTACGCTTTACCAATTTTAATTATACATTTAATTTGTTTTCAACTTACATATAATTCATCCACTTTGAATATGTTCAGATTCGTTGTTTAAAAGTAATTGATAAGCATCGAGTATTGAGTTTGGTCCCCGCTAAACTTGTGATACAACATGTGCCCAACATGAGAAGCCCGGAAAAATGTAGAGAAGCTCACGATATGAGCAGATCAGTGTCTGAAGCAAACAAAAAGATTTTAACCGTTTTATTATTGGGTTATCGGTTCTTAACGGTTGGGGTATTTTTAACAGGTTAACCGATAATCGATAACCTCATAGAAAGTCACTTTATCTTCTTTTAGAACCTCAAAGTCACTCAACTAAGGATTCTTCTCATTGAAAGTCACTCATTTTCTTCTTTTATAACCTCAAAATCACTGAACTACGGATATAAAAGAAAGTTGACTTTCTCATAAAAAAACTTAATTGAGTAACCATCTTAGAAATATTCTAATCTAACTACTGATTTGTGTTAGATTGACCTCACAACCGAATTTTATTTGAGAGGAAGTGCACAAATAACCAATTTGAGGACCCTTATTTTTGTTATAAAAAGACAGTTCTGAACTTGTAAGTTAAGCAAAATTGTTGCTCTAATATTATCAAAATTAATTTTCATGTTAATTAGTTAAACATAAATTGTTACTCTTCAAAAGTACTGATAAGCATTTCTGACAAACAAGACTTTTCATTTTAAACATTTGGCAAAACAAATTTTAGTCCTTTTTTAATCTTCTGACTGAGTTGGTGACTTTTGTTATATATTTCAGAAGAAAGATTCATGCAGAGTTCTAGCTCTGCTGTTGTGGAACAACTTCAATACAGTTTACATGCTTTTGCTGGTATACCTCTTTTTAATTTTTGCGGTTTTATATTCTGTTGGATAATTTTAAATTGAATTTTTATGGACCTCTCGTTTAAAAGTTTAAGATGTTACAGAGAGAAATTTTTTGATACCATACATGTTAAATTATGTGAAATCTAATCGGAAACATATCAAACACTCGCATTTTGATGTGCAAGAAGTTATCAATGCGCGCGTAATAATATTTGTCTTATGAATTTCAGGAAGTCACATCAGCGTATAGGAAGTTTTCACCCTCAATGCTATCTATGAGGGAAGCAACTCGAGTTTGTTGTGCTCTTGCTTTGTTTCAGGTCAGTAATATACCATCAAAATAGTGTGCTATAATTTGTGGTATAATGTTCTTCATATTTAACTTCCTGTGACACATTTTCTTAGTAAAGAGTTGTAATGCAATTTTTGTGTCTTACAACCGATAAGTGTGTGCACAACATGTAATTTTTATGGTTATATTCTTCAGGTTTTGGCTAATAACCCAGAAACAAGAAGGGGCCTCATAAAAGGTAATGTCAGTTCTTGAAATGACACCAATTGAAATGAAATTTATGCGAAACTACTCGATAGAGTGAATAAAGTTTCTGTAAGAATTCTTTTTACTGTTGTGTGAGAAACAATTTACTGTTCTAGTAATTTCATTTTGCAGCTAAAATACCATGTTATTTCTATCCATTTCTCAAGCCTTGTGAGGATCATGATGAGCCTTTGGAGCATGTGAGGATCACTACCTTGGGTGTTCTCGGTGACCTGACAAAGGTATCCGTCCATTTGAACAGATATACACACACGCGTTCTCCATTTGTGGAAGTGCTACTTCATGATTCTGATATTTTACTTGCTGGTGCAGTTTGATGATCCATATGGATCACATGCCCTTCATCTCTTCTTGGAATCGGAAGTGGTGCCTTTGTGCCTGAAGTGCATGGATGCATGTGACGAAATGTCACGGAAGGTTAGTCCATTCTGTTTTATTAATAGTGTTTCTGAATTACTTCACCGGTTTATGATGATATTCTGTTTCTTGGATCTCATATGAAATGAATGTTGTACCTCCACAGCTTGCAACTCTCATAGTTATGAAAATTCTGACGCAAGAGAGGGGACTGACCTATTGTTGTGCTACACCTGAACGCTTCTTCGCGATAGTACAGGTCTTGAGACGAGTGGTTGAGAAACTTTCTCCAAAACCTTGTTTGCTGCATCTAGTATATGTGATACAGTGTTATCTATGTCTTTCAAAAATATTAAGGTTCATGGGGTAAACATTCTCGTCCCTGCTGCTCAAGTTTCATGATTGTGATTTCTCTCTATCAACTATCTCTCTTGGATTTATTGTTTGATCAACCTTCACAATGCAGGCCATGTGATGCATTCGTAAGACAAATTCCTCCTCAGCTATTTGACAACACCTTTAGGCGCACTCTTCTTGTGAGTTTCATCTGCTCTCCTTTACTGTTACAAAAACTAGTCTTGTTACTTTAGTGTTACAAAAAGTTGGTTACTTTACTCTTAAAAAAAAAAATTGTGACTAAGTTTAGTGACCATCGATAAATCTCTTTTGTATCGATAAAAAAATATAGATCTTTTCAACTACTGTTACAGCTTCATGTGTATAATTGTAAGCTTTTGTATGTCTTTGCAGCATGACCACGAAGCTTCGTGGATGTTGCAGGTGCTACATCTCAATATTTATGGATGTCTATATTTTCCACCAATTGAAGAGAGAAAAAAGATTGCAAAGAAGGCTGCATCAAGTTATGCATCAAGTTCTGCATCAAGTTCAAAGGGTAAGGGAAAGGGAAAGAAGTGAACTTGTTCTGTAGGAAAAGACAGCAAATAATGACCTCGGTAGAGGGAAGAATGTTTTAAGTTAACTGTTCAACTTTTAAAAGCTCGAGAACGTTTTGAGCCTCGTTAAGACTGATACTTTTGCTTTATTGTGTACTGAATGGTTGCTTTGTTGTGTACTGAATGGTTTGCTTTGTGTGTACTGAATGGTAGCTTTGTTCAGCTGAAATGAAGTTATCTGTTGTTTCCTGTATTGCAACTTTGTCAATGTCTTTCTTTCACGGTATATTTATGCTTTATTTGAGCCGAGGGTCTATTGGAAACAACATTTCTACCTTCACAAGGATAAGATCTGCGTACACACCATCCTCCTCAGATCCCATTTGTGGGATTAAATTTGGTACGTTGTTGTTGTTATTGTATGTTGCATGCATCCTACGCTTAATTAAAAAATACTCATTCAGTTATATGTACTACAAAAGGCTGCCATTGTGGTCATATATAACTCACTGATAGAGATGTGTTAGAGAAGGCTTTCGGGCTAGGAAATGAGAAACAGCCATATCCAGGGCCAGGACTCAAGTTGCTGATTAGGTATGAGACAGATAAGAGCCTCTCGCTCCTGAAATAGCAGCAGAGGAGACAGAGGCACCAGTTTAGGAGAATGTTGCACCTGTTCTGACTTCGTTAGATAACTTTGCTGGGTAGTTTGAAAGAGACTGGGGCGACACTTACAATTCCCACAAGGCAGTATCCAAGAGTTTAGCATGTTTTTATGGCTCTACAGATGGACGAGATTTTAAGAAATAGGTGTTTTTTTTACCGATGATTGGATCGACAATGATTGGAGATGAGCATGATCTATTTTGGAGGTTCATTAAAATGAAGCAAGCTTATCATTGATTGTCATGGCTACTTGTGAATCACCTGATGTTCATATTCTTATTTCTACTCCTTTGGGTGATTATGTGATTGTTGATAGAGTCTATTAGTTTTGTGTGTATAAAATCTTGGTAGACTTGGTGATCTTAAACATGGTTGATTTTGATGTCATTTTTGTGATGATTTGGTTGTCTTCATACAACGTTGTTTTAGACGATCATGCCAAGATAGTTTTCATATCTATGCCAGGGATGTATGGGCTTGAGTGGAAGGGTAATTGTAGTTCGACTCCTAAAAATTTATATTTTTTATTCATGCCAAAAGATATTAGAAGTATTGTAACCACATATGAAGAGTTATTCTAGAAGAGTCTAAAAAGGAATCCTATTTACAAAGTATCATTTATCATCATATCATATGTCATATATATATATATACTAGATAATGTTGCCCGTGCTATGCACGGGCCCAATAATATAAATGGTATGTTTTGGGGCTAATAACAGAATTTTTAAAGTGATTGTTTGCGTGAATAAAGGAATAAGTTTTTTTTTATCACAAATCTGTACTTTCTTTGACGCTATTTAAGGCATAATAAGACTACTCACATATAACATTTTTGAAATAGTTTATGTTGTCAATTATCATGATTTCTAGTATTTTTACGCAACTTTCAATATAAAAAAAAACAAAAAAAAAAGAGAAATAAATTAAAATGGACCCAATATATGTTATTTTTGTTGTCT